CTGCAAAACACCTCCTTAAAGCATTAAAAAGCAAAGATGTCACTTAGAGGACTAAGATGCACCTGACCCAAGCCATAGTATTTTCAGTCGCCTCATGCTTTTGAATTATGGTGTTGGCAAAGAATATTGAATATACTGTGGACTGCCAGAAGAATAAACAAATATGCTTTGGAAGAGGTAAAGCCAGAATGCTCCTTAGAAGCGAGGATAGTGAGACTCAGTCACCTGTACTTTGGACATGTTATCAGGAGGGACCAGTCCCTGGAGGACATCATGGTAGAAAATCAGCAAAAAGAGGAAGACCCTCAACAAGATGGACTGACACAGTGGCTGCAACAGTGGGCTCAAGCACATAGTAACAACAGTGAGGATGGTGCAGAACCACGCAGTGTTTTGTTCTGTTGTACATAGGGTGGCTAGGAGTTGGAACCGACTCAACAGCTCCTAACACCTCTAACATCTTCCTGTTTTTTCAGGCCATTATTCCATCCCTTTTATGCTGACTTTGATCCATTTTTATTACTTTGCCTGACACCAGCAGGTCGTATGGCTCCAGTTCTTCAAGCATACCTTTCAAATCCAAGTTATGACTAAGCTTTCTACCTAACAAATGAACGATGTTATTCAGTATGTCAGATGCTTTAAACACTGTATGTATTTCAAGTTATTCCAGATCAGTACATCTAGACAACCATCAGTTCTATAGGACAATTATTTAACTCACAAGGTACTCAATTCCAACTCATGGTGACTCCACGTGTGTCAGAGTAGAACTGTGCTCCATAGGTTTTTAATGGCTGGCTTTTTGGAAGTAGATCACCAGGGCTTTCTTCCGAGGTGCCTCTGGGTGGACTCAAACTTCCAACCTTTTGGTAAGCAGCCAGCTGTGTTATGACCACCCAGGGGCTCCACTCCCAAGGTAGATGTGTGAAAACAGTGCAATACATACCCAGCTTTGTCCTGTGATTGTGTAGAGTGCTATATGAAAGGCTGCTCCAGCAATAATTGATGGCAAATACTTTAGGTATGGGTCGGCATCTATCAAACTTAACTCTCCCAAAAACTAGAATGAAAAAGTAAATACCCTTAATGACCACAAAAGCTCTAGAACTCAAACTTGAAATACTTAACCTTCTGACCTAATTTTTTCTCATCTTTAAGGCTGGCACTATAACAACCATAGAAAAAATTTTCCAGTCTTTAAATATTTCCACTATCTTAGTGGTTTGCTTCATTCATTCCTATCCTCCATTTTTCACTTAATAACACTGATAAAGCAACTCTTCCAGCTACCATCTCTAAGACTTCAAAGCTGGCACCACTGTTCTTACTGCTCTCCCTGATACAGACTATCTTTTGCCATTGTTGGGTTTCTTACCACTGGAACATTAATCTGTACCTGGAATACTAAATCATCTTTACCAAAGCTGTATAATGAAACAAGGGCTTACTCCTAATTGTGACCTGAGTCTCCATTCAGCAAAATGAACTGAACTTACCATTGCTAAACTTTCAACTTTGCAGTTTGCAGGCTGCTGATGCAGAAAGTACTGGGTAAGAAACTGATTTACTGTTGGTGCTGCTAAGTCAAACGCAAGGACTTTCAAAACTAGATGTTCCATTCTCAGAACTTGTTTCTTGGTATAGGTGTCATCTGTAATGTATACAAATTCTGCTACTTCTGGAGGATATATTTCTTCAAACTTTCTACAATGAAAAGTTTTAAGTAATCAGTCCTAAAAGAGAAGCAAGTTTGCTAATCCCAATTCTGAAATTATATCAGCAAAACATATGTGGAGGAATGAATCCAAAACCTGTACTCTACCCACTGGCTGTTTTCACTGATACTTGCCCATCATTTCTAGCAGAGACTGGGCAGCCAATTGCTAATCTGAGGCCCTGCCTCATAATCTGGAGCCTGGGGGGCACAGTGGTTAAGAGCTATGACTGCCAACCAAAAGGCTGGTAGTTTGAATCTACCAGCTGCTCTTTTGAAACCCTATGGGGCAATTCTACTCTGTCCTATAGGGTCGCTTTGAGTCGGAATTGACTCGACAGCAGTGGGGTTTTTTTTTTAACCTCATAATGGGGCCCTGGTGGTGCAGTAGTTAAAAGCTTGCTACTAACCAAAAGGTCGGCAGTTCAAATCCACCAGCAGCTCCTTGGAAATCCTATGGGGCAGTTCTGCTCTGTCCTATAGGGTCACTATGAGTCCATATTGACTCGAGAGCAACGGGTTTGGTTTTTAACCTTATAACGAAGGACTCTGAGATAAGGAAAGTAATTGACTAAGAGGCAAGATGAGAACAATGCCAGAGCAAACCAAGTAGCTAAAAATTTAAGAACTACAAGTCCTAAGAAAACGTTTTACATTTTAATTTTTATATGTAATTTTCACATCGTAATGGGTAGAAGATAAGACTTCTATGCCGGAAGGGAGCCCTGGTGGCACAGCGGACAAGCACTTGACAGCCGCCGGTCACTCCACAGGAGAAGGATGTGGCTAGTCTGCGTCCGTAAAGATTTATGTCCATGGAAACCCGGTGGGGCAGTTCTACTTTCTTATACAGGGGCACTGAGTCAGAATCTCCTTGACAGCGCACAAGAGTCTAGTCCCAGTATACTAAAAGGTACCACTCTCTGTGTTCAGGAAGGTACCCTGAAAGACATATCTGGGAAAGTTGATGTTCTAAATTAGAATCTAAATTTCACCTCGCCCCCCTCCCCATGCCACCACAGCTAGTCCCTGATTCTCTGCCTTGTGTAGTATGTTAGAATACTACACTATTAAAACTCATTTTTTTCCCTGCACAGAGAGGTGCTGATCACTTTTCCTCCAACAAACCAAGATGGACTTACGAGGCTAGTAGCATAGCAGCAGTGCCCACAAGCTGAAGTTTTCCTCTCAATACGGACATTGATGAAAGGAACCTATCAATGTAGTTCACAGCCAAGTACAGGGTCTCATTCTGTAGTTTATATTCTTCGCCTACTTCAACTAACCAGTCCACGAGGATAGCCCTCATACTGTTAGTGATGTCTGGTTGCTTCTTCATATAACCCACTTTAGGCTTACACTTCACCTGTTGAGAAAAGTTAGTTTGGTATAGTGTTAAAATTACAAGTAGATTATTCTACAATTAACAAAGATGCTATATGCCAGGAACATAAGTATACCTTAGAGTAGTTCACTATCAGTGAAAAAACGTAAACACTATCCTCTCAATTTCATCTAGCCACATTTAACGAACAACAGTCTACAAACTGCACTCGGAGAGCGTTTACCTCCATTTCCCTAAGGTACGTGTGAATGTCTTCATGGTAGTCTGGTACTTCATTGACACTCACTGGTTTCTCATCTTCTGATACAATCGACATGTCCATAGTGCGCGGTGACTCTGAAAGAACTAAAAAAGATGATTGTTTAATTTTCTATTTAATAGCTTAAAGTGACTGCCCTTGTCAATGCTATATTACCAAAACATTTATTTCATCCAAGTAAAAGGGTTTCTCACGACAAAAGTACATGGATTTGCCAAGAGAAATCGCTGACCCAAGTCTGATATATTCAAAGTACAATTAGGTCATAACTAGAAGCAGGGCCAAATGGTGTTCATTAACAAGTGTATTCATGAAAATTAGGATTGTTAAACAGGTAGTTCAAACAGGTGGATTAACACAACAATCAACAAATGATTGATTTTTTTTGTAATTTAAATTATCTTTTGAGTCAAAGAATATCACCTATTAGTCTTTTCACTTTAATGATCACTTTGAAGTAAAAAATTATTACAAATTTTAAATAAAAACAGATTATTTCCAAAGGACTTTCCTACTCCCTTCCCTAATCAATGGAACTACAACTAAAATGAGATTGTATTCAATAAGCTATCCACTAACTCAATAACCCTATAGAGAAGAAACAGTACAAACTGTAGACAGAGCTGTCAACTGAAGCTACTCCATTTTAAATGTGGATAAGTGCAAACAGGCATGATACAACTATACTGGCACACAGGAAGACAATGTGCCTTTCTGGTATCTGATGATTACTCAGACTGGTGTTACAGAAACACAGACTTTCAAAGCTGGGAGAGATGTTAGCACAATATTTAAGACTGCGTTCTTACACAGCACTCTCTAAAGCGGTATGTATGAACTGAGTCACTGTCTTACAAATACAACTGAAATCTATTCTCCCAACCAAGCCAACATTTCCAGGGTCAGATTAAAATATGACTGAGATCTAATTAAATTGATTGGTAGTGTACTGGAAGGAGCACCCAATTAGGACTTAGGTCCTGTTGTAGGTCACTAGGTCATGTATTAGGTGTGAGATTTGGGACAAGTCACACTCTTTCTAAGCCTGTTACATTAAACCTAACTCATTATGTAGTAATGATCAGTAAGATAATGTTTTAAAATATAAAATCCAGTCTATTCAATAATTACAATTACTTTGATTCATACAGATTTTCTTTAAAACTTACCAAAACTACCATCCATTGGATAATCAAGAGACCCCAGGGGTTTTCTTGGTCCAGGTAAAGTAACAGCTGAATTAAAAGCCAGGGCATCTTCACACTCTGTTTTTTTAGATTCAGCTGGTCTCTTTTCAGTCTTTTCTTCTTCTTCATCCACATGAATGGTGAATGCAGGCTGTTTACTGTTTCCTTTCCAGGGAGGAACAGTGACACGCTCATCATTTACAGGAATATCCTTAAGAGGTGCAACCTAGAAAGAAAATTAGTAACTGTCTTTGAGCCTGTTAAATGGAGCTTTGCCTTTTTCCCCTTAAGGGTCTCAGCTTTTGCCTTTACTCCCAAATATCTACCAGGAAAATTAAACTAGGGCAAAGTCCCGGCAAGAATAAAATTTGAGTAGCCACGGACAGAGGGGATGTAAAAATTTGTCACAGGCCGAGTGGATACTAGGGTGGAGCAACAGAGCAAATCCGGCTAAAATGGCGGAATTTACCAAAAGTGTTCTCTTGTACCCTTTTCTAAAGTAGAGGCATTCTCTTAACCAGATGGGGAGGGAGAAGAGGGATCTGGTCGCTTCGCCCTGAAGCAGAGAGTAATGCCTGGGGTTAAAAAGACGAGCGAAAGCGCGGAGCCGGGCAAAGACATTCATGTAGCAGGGCTTAGTTTGACCCTAATATCTATAAAGATGACCTCAATAAGGAGCAGGCAGGCAGCACACGCACAGCGTTGGCGGGGGTTGTATGCTAAAAAGAATTAGAGCAGCTACCACCGTGACATCCCACAAACTGGAAAATCTGAGACCAAGGTGACTTCAGACCCGCGCCTCCTAAAACGCCCAGAAAATGCTGAAAATGCTTTCTCGTAACCCTCCTCTGCCTGCTAAGCCCATGCCCGACACTCGCCTGGCCCACCCTCCGACTGATGCCTCGCGTGTCCTTCCTTACCCGTCGCGTCTT